CTGTAGTCAACCTTAAATTATTCATATGGATCTTTTCTCTCAAGTTTTTTTTTACCTTGAAACCTAGGGAATGACAGTTATCTGATAATGTTTAGCACATCCTTCCTGGGTTATTAAAAATGCTAAGCTAATTATATTTTCCCGAAAATCTTGTCACTTCAGTGTCATTCACCAGTTAAAAGAGCTGCTAGTTTCTTTCATTTTCTTTGTCTTCTTCAAGATGATACAGCAGGCCAAGCAAGCATTTGTCAAATATCTGCTGTTAGCATCTGGTAAGTTCTAGGGTGTACTAAGAAATTTATGTGTATGGCTTTATCCTCTCATTAAGGACTGAACTGAGAATTATCCTTTGTTAGCTTTAGAAAGTCTCGTCTGTCAGCTGACATGGTTTATGCGTGGGAAAAGAGATCGGAGTTTCTACCGCAACAGATTCTTTCTGCAGAAGGTTAGGTCACATTTTTACATAGCTTTTATGTGATGTACTAAATACAGAAATTGCATTGAAAGAAAAGTAAAGTAAGGAATGTAAAACAATGACATGTTTGTTTGTTGTTTGTTGTTGGCAACCTTTAATAATTGTAGTTCACAAGAGACTTTTAGAAATAATTATTTATAATTTTAAAAATTGTAGTTAAATAATTGTAGCTCAAACAGACTTTTAGAAATACTTACTTTGAATATTCCCAACATAATGCCAAAGGTCATGTTTTAGTTGAATGTAAGCTTGCTTTGAATATGACAATCTAGTAGTAAAAGATTTTACTTTCTTAATTTTGGACTCAGAGGGCTTCTTTATATATTTATTTTTATATATTTAATTTATACACAATAAATCTATAAAAAAGTATGCATTGAATGAGATTACATTTTCATTTTATTAATGTTAAACAATAGATAAAACTACTTAAGTTTTAGGTTTTAAATGAAACTTATTCTTTTCTTTGGGTTCAGGATGCACAATAGGAGCTCTCTTGAAGGACTAAGAGAATACTTCTTACAGTCACCGCTTAAATTTATCCCTCCCACTGCAGAAGTATACAGATTTGCAGAAATATCCTATATAAAGGGGGAAACATGAGGAGACAACTTATAAATTTTCCTAAGGTCTATTACACAGCACAAATATTTCTGGCTTATAATTTCCATTGACAAATCATCTCTATTAATGGTTAATTAAGGAGTCATTTCCATAGAAAATGTGGGTGGCAATTTTGCCTTTGAAATATATTCTCTAATCTGTTAAGAAATGTGTAATGAAAAATAAAAATTATTCAACATTAAAACTGTATGGAACAATGTGGGCTTTTTGGTAAGGTAGGAATAAGTACGCATGCTTCCAGAAAAGAGTATGTAAAATATTATGTTATCTATTTTTATTAATGCAAATGTATTATATGATGCTTCTCAGCCTACTATGTCTCCTATGTCACCTTTCAACTCAACAATGTACTAGAAATTACCACTTATGCACTGAAAAATAATATCACTTGTTTTCCCCAGTAGCAGCTGTAATGAGTACATGGGATAACAGAATCATAGAACCATAGCAAAACTTGAGAGACTATGTTTACTAGACCCACAACTATAGGAAAGTATATAACTAAACTCTTTCATATAAATACTGCTTTATTATTTTCTTTGAGATGCCCATAACTAGAAATGCACAACCTCCTTGACAATTCATTCTAATCTTTGATCTTTGAACACTCCATCTAAAGTCACTTCCCCCTTCCGCCAATAACTCTATCACATGTAATATTTTGTCCACAAACTTGTCATGGTTTGAAATTTTGTTATTTGTTGTTTACATTTTTGTTGATAATCTTCCTCTATACATGCAAGCTCTAGCCGGTCTTCCTCTATACTAGTAATAGTAGTTGGCCTCCTTAAAAGGTACTCATTAAAAATACATTAAATTGGTAGAAGAAAGCTAAGAAGTTAGGATATTAGGAAAGAAGGAACAAAGATCAAAATGTTCCACCTTGTATCTAGCTGAAATACCTTCTGCTTTCACTTAAGCCTATCTTGCACTGTTCAGTCTTTGACAGATAAGGATAACAATGATACCACATTCTCCAACTAAAATCCCTCCATGTACTTGAAGAAAATTATCTAGGACAGTGGGCAATAAATCTTACTTTAGCCTTACTTCTACCTTACTTCCTTTTAGAAGAAACAAAGGAAAAGTATATAAATAAATAAGATAAAACAAAGCTTTAATTGATAATGATAAAGAACTATAAGTTATTAGTTCCAAAGAGTATGAAATCTTATTGCTTAAAAGAGACTAATTTAAATAGGAAACAAGCTCAAATACACATTAAAAAAAATAAAAAGGAAAAATTATAAGATGAAGCAACTGGTTCTAAGGGAAAATTTGACAGAGGATAAATAATGGTGGTGGGGAGTAGCTAAGTAGGACATAAGTCCCAGGCAACACTCCAGTTACCTGGATTGTCATTGACATTCATCTTTATGTTCTCCAATTCTTAGCTATCTAAATTTCACATTTTAGCTTTGTAGAATTAATAGCTTTGCAAGACCTGGATTCTTTCAAAAGGATATTTGATAGGATAATGGCATTTATTACAAAAACACATTTACTTAGACTATTCCAGCCCAAGCAATAAATGGAAATTTTCTCTCCCTAGCACATGTGTATGTTGGTGAGTAAGAACTGGGTCCAAGAATGATTATGGATGAAAGAACATGACAAAGTTCAATCATTTAAAGCAGAAATAAAATCATAAATCTGAGCAATGAAGTTTTCTCATGGACAACCAAAATGTGCATTCTCCTCTTTGCTTCACTCCATGTTTTCATTATTATGACAGGAACATGAACATATTGGACTGATCTTCTAAGGACACATTTGAAAGATTTTACTATTGGTTTTTCAAGCATTATATTTATTTGGTCAGAAAAATTATTTGTAAAAATAGACATGAAGAAAATGAAGCATATTTCAATATTAAAATGGGAAGAAAACTGGAAAATTGAAGTTCCTTTGTTTATTTATAAAGTTTCTGACAATTTCATTTATGGGATCTGGGAGGTAACGAAAAGAAAAAATTTCTTTCAGGAAAAAGTTCAAGATCTACCTTGCCTGTGCCATATTTTAAATATCCTAGATTTGCAGCAACTATTTTTTTGGAATGAGGAGTCATAAAATTACATATAGGAGACTTTAAAATATTTGATGACATTAAACGTGATGCCAAAACAACATGTTCAAAGCTTAAGGAAAAGAGTATGATAGAGGCAGAATCATAACAGGTTGGTTTTGATAATACTGGGGCTGGTCTCACGTTGAAAAGCTGCCAATATGGGTGGAGTGGCTGGGGAGTCCATGGGCTGTGATTTGGCAGTAGTAGTAACAAAGGGGTAATTGGGGATGAAGAGGAAGATGGAAAGATTTCTCCAAAACCTTCCCTCCATACTTTCATATGTTCTGTTAATTGATGAGAAAAATGTCAACCTAATCATTCATTTCATTGGCTTTAAAATTTCAAAGTGATTTCAAGGGCTACAAGGTAGTCACTCACTCATTCATTCATGTGTCATATTTTCTATTGAATTCCTATGTGTCACAATCCACTGTGCCAGATGTTGAGGATAAAATGGTGAACATTAACTCACTTTCATTTTCCTTATGTACAAAGTAGAGATAAGAGTTTCTCTCCCCGCTATCTTACAGAGTTGGTCTGTTGTTTAAGTAAGATTGTACAACATGTGTAGTAACATACAATAATGGTAGCAATACAGTGTTTTGGAATGGAAAATATTAGATTAGAATAGTTTTTTCCTTACTGGTATGAAAATATATTTTGTTATAGAATAACACAGAAAGAATGTCAGAACAGTTAAAAGTGGGAGTGATTGCTATTACATTAAGAGAGGGAAACACTAAAATTGTGAAAGGAGAAACACTGAAAAAGAGATTTCCCTTGTAATTTTGTTTAGTTCCAACTCCTTTCCTGCCAGAGCCTATAACATTCTTGAGCTACATAATTTGTTATTGGGTTTTAGCTTAGTGTTTCCTAAATTTCAGTCAGTCATGAATTAATTTCACGGAGTTTGCCATATTCATTTGTAACTTTTATTAATATTTAACTAATATTTTTCTTTAAATCAATGATTTTTTTAAGTACAAAATATTGTGAATGCATTTTAAAATGCAAAGTTTATATCATTGCTTTAAAGAGGAAACCAGTACCACTTGCTATAATAGAAGGTAGATATAAAACTCATAACATTAAAACAAAATAACATTATTTAATTCTAGGTAAATGCTATTACCTAACCAAAGCTCTGAGCCTAAGGAATAGGGTCTGCTCTTTCTTTGGTAAAAAGGGTGATTAGTAAGTACTGAAGAAGCATTACAGATATACTAGGACCAAAGTGAGATTTTCTGTTTTGCATAATCAGAAGGCTGGAAAAATATTGAAGAGGTGAAAAAAGGATTAACTTTCTTACTCTATGATACAATATTATTTAATGATATCTCCTATACTAGCTAAAATATCTCACAAAGGTCAATACCAAATAATGCAAAACCCTGGTATAGTTTGTCTGAGTTGTATAACTTTAGGTTTAACCACACCTCTTTATAAATTATAAATAAACTCTACTACACGGTTGCAAAGCATTTTGTAAGAAGTAATTGCTCTATATGCTCAATCCCCAAATTATTGTTCATTGCACTAAGAGTATATTCATGATTATTTAGAAGATAGAACAACTAGTTCTACAAGAGACTAAAAAATTTACTCAGAACCAAACTTAGCACAGTCCCACCACAGATGTTGAGGAAGGAGGCAAACCTCTAAACATGCTAGGAATGTCCTGCACAAGAACACAGGGTAAGTTAGGGCAGAAGAAAATGATCCTAGGGACTTGCTCTTCAGTTTCCTGACCAGAAGATCAGACCCCTTTCTCATAGGGAAGAAACCTCAGGCTTCAAACCAATGAAACACAGAGAATGACCCCACAGGACTTACCTCCTGTGAGCATGAGGGCACATTTGCACATACAGTTGTCATTATCCGCATCTTTGGTGCTGAAATCAGCACCATGTAAGATCAGGCTGCTCTGTTTTCCTGCTGTCCCAGTGTGACCCTTTAAATACAACCTGAAATTAAAAAAAAAAAAAGAGAGAGAGAGAGAGATAAGCCATTTGACAGAATAACAGAACCCAGAAGAACAACTTGTTGAATGTTTGCCTTTTTCATTATTTTCTCTCTTCTTTGAACTCAGCCCTTTCAACAAGCCACTATAAGACCCAAGCTATCTGAAGCAAAAGACAAAAGAAAGAAAAGAAACGAAGAATGAAAGAGAAAGAGAGAAAGAAAAAAAAGGAAGTAAGAAATAAAAAAGAAAAAGAAAAGAGAAGAAAAGAAAGAAAAGCAGGAAAGAAAGATTCTAAATTACAAATTGGTAAAGTTCTCTATGGCCTGTGTGTTTATTTTATTATACATATTCAAACTCATATGGTTTTCTGATAATGCCGAATTCAGAAAAAGAACACTGGTTTATTTTATTATTACAGGTATTAATCTATAAACAAAAATCCCTTTTAGAGTGCTAATGCAGCACGTCACTCCATTAATATCTAACACTGCAGATGTGCTAAATTTATTTTAATAGCAATAAAAGTAATAAATCTCATTCTTTGAGGACTTACTCTGTGCTAGGCACTCTGCTAAATGATTTCCCCAGCTGTTGTTTAATTTTTGCATTAAATCTGTGATGACCCCATTTTGCACACAAAGGTTTAGAGAAGCTACATAAGCTGGAATTTAGTTGTGTTTGATTCTAAAACCCAAGCTTTTACACAATTCACAATCACAAAGATATGGAATCAGCCTACATGCCCATCAATTAACGAGTGGATTAAGAAAACATAGTGTGTATACACACACACACACACACACACACACACACACATACACACCATGGAGTACTACTCAGCCATAAAAAGGAACGAAATAATGTCTTTTGCAGCAACTTAGATGGAATTGGAGACAATTATCCTAAGTGAAGTATCTTGGGAATGGAAAAACAAACACCACATTTACTCTGTAATAATTGGGAGTTACTTGGTGGGCACATATGGGCACAAAGAGATATAAAGGTCATAGGAAATCATGAAGAAAGTAGGGAAAGAATGGGAGGGGTAAAAACCTACCTATTGGGTACAATGAACATTATTCAGGTGATGGGCTTAAGCCCCAACTTAAGCATTATAAAAGATATTCATGTAACAAAAATATTTGTACCCCTTTATATTTTGAAATAATAAAAAAACCCAAGCATTTAATTATTATGCATTCCCTGTACAAATGTCTGCTGAGCACAAACTATAATAAACCAGATATTATTCTACCATTCAAGATATATCAGCAAACAAAACAGATAAAGACCCATGTCTTTGAGGGACTTATATTCAAGTGGTATTCCTAAAATTAAGTTCTAGATCCAACCTGTTTAATCTCAATTGTTGCAGTATTCAAAGAACCTATCTTACTCTCTAGAAACATTTCTTATATAAAATTTGCATTAACCTAGATCAGTGGCCCTCCAACGGTTGTACATGTAATAAATCATCTGATCTTTTGTGAAAAAGGTCTATTCACAAGGCCCAGGAGTGTTTGTTTTCAACTATCATCTCAGATTACTCTTTGCAGACTGTCCAAGGAGAACATTTTGAAGAATAATGTCCTAGAATCCAAAAACTAGTGGACACATCACAATAGTTGCTGAATGTAGCTCCTTGGCTGATGTCTGCTCATTTCCTATCAATCCTATGTGCCACTTTCACATCCTTCTGGGTAGTGTAGTACTTTGAACAAATGTAAACTTGCTCAAGTCTTTCATTGGCTCCCCAGGGCTCAGAGTAGCTAACCTGAAGTTGTCAGTCTTGACAGCTCGATACTCAAGGTTTCTCTGGCCAACACTCTACCCCCTCTCTCTAACTCTACACAACACTGCTCCTCTGTACCAACACAATGGTCTTACCAGAATCATCTAGCAATATTTCCTTCAAATCCATATAGGTCACCACTTCTGTGTATATGTGAATCCTATCCACCCATAGTATAATTAATGGGTGATTGATATCTCTGTGTAAGTGAGACACTTCTAGGACCTATGCTAGATCTGAGCAAAATATTACATTATTATCAAACTGGAATAACAAAGATCAATTAGTATTTGGAGGTGTATATTTAACTTAACTTTTGTTTGTACCTAGGCATATATATGTGCCATTATTATTTTGTGGTGTTGGATATTGTTTTAGCAAAGGACAATACGATTGCCTGTGTGTGCAAGGTATTTTTCAAATATTCTGCAGAGAGTTTTGAACCAGAGCAAAATATACAATTAAACCCCAGTCAGGTTTTGTTGGTTTCAATAATTAATGCAATGTCTAGTTAACAGTAGTCCAAATAACTTTCTAATGCTGAATTATCACATACAAGCTCATATTTTAAAACTCTGGAGAGGCAAGCTAAAAGTCACTGGTGATGCAAAATTATAGAATGTTTTTAAGTGACACTTCACATTCGAGGCTGCAGCCAGCCCAAGAGGAGGTGGGTTTCACCAGGGGAAAGTAAGGTAATAGATCAGGAAAGGGAGTTCTGGGGCCTATTACCTGGGTGACTTCACCATCTTCCAGATCTGGTCTGCAGTTTTGATTTGATCACTTTTTCGGAGGTCCTTAGCCTCTCAGAGACAGACACACACTTGCGAAACTAACAGAGACTTTTGTCAGGTCTCCATTTACAGTCAACGTGGAGCACTGTGGGAACCCAGTTTCATGGTCTCCTTAGAATTTCACACAGAAAGCCAAACTGTAATCAGAAAGTCGTTTGTTTGAAAATTATGTAGTTGTGACTCTGCTAGCCTGAAATCTCCTGCTCCCCTGGGACTGGGTGAGTTTATCCCACAGGGGCCCTTGAATGAGTAATGACAATTCCAACTCTGATCTTTGGCTTCTCTATGATTTGAAACAGCCTTCTTTCTTTCTTTCTTTTTTTTTTGTTAATTTTTTTATATTCTTTAATGTTTTTTTATTTCAGCATATTACCAGGGTACCAATGTTTAGGTTACATGCATTGCCTTTGCCCCACCCAAGTCAGAGCTTCAAGCTCTTCTTTCTCATGGTAAGTCAATACCATTTGCCCTGCAGTAGTCTAATAGAGACAGACTTTCTAGGTTACAACGATTTTCTGTAGTATCTTTTTCAGATAATTCAACATAAATATTTAGCTGATTTTAAGTGAGTGATTGCTGTGTGCTGGATACATAGTTTATACTTTTATCCTTTCACATGAGGGTTACAGTCTAAGTCTTATAATTTACAATTGTTTCTTTATGTAACCAAGGCAATACAAATGCACAATTATAAATCTGAGAAATAAAGAAAAGTAAAAAGAAAATAAAAATCAACCCACATCTCACTCATCACCAAGAATAGCTATTCTTGACATATTATATAATTTTAGTCTTTTCCTTGTTTTCCCCCTCCAAATACAGAATATTATTTATTTTTAAGTGCACATATGTCTGAACTCATTTTTACATTTTTGAGTGATATGAATACAGCTTTTGCCCACGTCCCATTTCATCTCTCTCTTTAGAGATACCTTGCAAAAATAATTTCTCCTCATATATAAATACAAAAAGAAATAGAATTATACTTTACATGTTTCTTTACAAGATGATTTTCAAATATAATTTTATGACCACTTTTCCATGCCATATTCTTCTCCAACATCATTTGGAAGCTAATGTATGAACATATTATCAATTGTCACAAGTTTAATGGTGCCTTTATGTATCTCTAAATATGTATGCAAGTGTGTATGTTAAGGTCAGAATGAAGTCTGAAATATTTTTTCCTGACCTTCCCTTATACAAAACTTATCAATGCTATATATTAGGCTCTCTAAGTAAAGAGACATTTTTCTAGATCTATTTAAGACTTGGAGGTCATTCTTCTAGTCCTGGCAGCTCTTCTCTGGATTAGTGCAATAAAGTCTTATGACTAGTCTCATTGTCTTGAGTTTCTCTCCTTCCTTTTCCCTTGAAATCCATGTTCCATGTGGCTCATTCAAAAACATGCATTCGTCATTGCTCTACCCTAGTTGCAATCCTTCAGTTATTTCCCAAACAGTCAAAGAATAAAGTCCAAATTCCTCACTGTGGTTTACAAGGCCTTTGAAGTCTAGTCCTTGTCTCCTGTCTTCTTTCCCCCACACCAGCCCCACCCTCACCCCTTCTAACCCTTGTTATTTTCTGCACACGCACATAGTGCTTCAGCCTTACCCAATCGCTTGTCCCCACATAGCAACACGCTCTCACATTTCTCAATACATTTGCATGTGTTGGGCATTCGTCCCAGAAAACCCTCTCCAGCTTTGAATAGCTGCTGAACTCCTATCCATTCTTCAAAATTTGTTTCAAGTATAACCTCAAAGAGTATCAAAGAGGTATCTTTATGATGTTACTGACTGGCTATATTTTAATTGTCTTTTTACTTAGCTGTCTCCCATAATAAACGGTAACCTCCTTGAGGCCTAGACTGTGTTTTACTCATCTTCGAATCACGAGAATCTAGAATTGTCTATGAGATACGGAAAGACCTCAAAGTTCATTGAATAAATGGATGATGAGTGTCCTAAATAATTAATTTTTGGTAGATTCAAGGTAGTAAGTAAAAGTATATTCAAATGTAAATAACTCTAATAACCAAATATAACTGGACCACATTTTCAGAGGACTAGCTTTTGCATTTCATTTATCTAGGTACTCAAGATACCTAGCTAGGTACCCACTTTCTTGTTCATCCAACTCAAATAATTAAGTGTGTGTGCGTGTGTGTGTGTGTGTGTGTGTGTACACTCTTCTATACCTTCTTGATCTTTTCAGTTCTGTTTTTGTTCTTATTTTCTCAGAGACTCCAGAATATGAAAACATGTTCAAAGTATCACGCAGATAGAGTAAAGGAAGAGAGGTTGTGTTTTAATTCCTATTATTTCTTTCATTTTACTGAATGATTTATTTGCATTGTGTGCATAGCCAACTGTTATCAGAAAACAAACTGAAAAGTAGAACATGCTTAAGGTAAATCTTTCAGTTAAAATTACTTTGAAAAAAAGAAATAATCTAGTGAGATGTGAAAATATTTCCTTAAGGTTCTGCCCAGATTAGGAATCATTAAAACACAAAGAAGTGGAGAAAAGTCCCAAAATGTGCAGTGCAAACGGTGGCACATATTGGTT